AGTTTATGCAGTGCTGGGATATTGCTCAAGGCTTTGTGTGTGACAGTCAGTCACTGTACCCAATTCAGCATATCATCAGCACTTCTATTGTTTTTAACACCCTGGTGTTTTTGTTTGTTTGTTTGAGACAAAGTCCTTATGTAGCCTTGGCTGTCCTAGAACTCATTAGATAAACTAGGCTGGCCTGGAACTCCCTGTGTAGCCAAGAGTGACCTTGAACTTTGACCCTCCTGCCTCCATCTCTTCGGTGCTGGTATTGCAGGTGTGCACCACCACACCCAGTTTATGCAGGGCTGGGGATGCTGCTCAAGGCTTTGTGTGTGACAGTCAGTCACTGTACCCAATTCAGCATATCATCAGCACTTCTATTGTTTTTAACACCCCTGGTGTTTTTGTTTGTTTGTTTGAGACAAAGTCCTTATGTAGCCTTGGCTGTCCTAGAACTCATTAGATAAACTAGGCTGGCCTGGAACCCAGGGAGATCTGCCTGCCTCTGTGCACTGAGTCCTGGGATTTAAGGCGTGTGCCATCATGCCTGGCTTAATGTACTTATTTAATGTATCTTTTTAAAAAGGAATGTAGTTTCTGTAGGCCTCCTCCTTCTCCTCTTCCTCCTCTTCTTTTTCCTCTTCTTCTCCTTACTCCTCCTCCTCTTCTTGAGACAGGAAGTAGCCCTGGCTGACCTTGAACTCACAGAGATCTATCTGCAAGCAACCATGATTTGGTCAGTTATGTTGTGTTTCTCCCAGTCTGTAGAAAATGCAAACTGACCCTAGGTAAGGGTTTCCTCTACTTCCTGTTTCCCTTTAAATTTTCCTTTCTAGCCAGGCAGTGGTGGCACATTCATTTAATCCCAGCATTTGGGAGGCAGAGGCAGGTGGATCTCTGAGTTTGAGGCCAGCCTGGCCTAAGAGCGAGTTCTAGGACAGCTAAAGCCACACAGAGAAACCTTTCTCGAAAAATTAAAAAAAAAATATTCCATTCTATCCTGCTTTAAAAACTATATATTAGAAATTTTAAAGATTTTAAAAAGTTCTTTTTACTTTATGTGTATGAATGTTTTGCCAGCATGTATGTGTGTGGACTACAGCTCATGTGGAAGTCAGAGAACAATTTACAGGAGATGGTTCTGTCCTCCTACCATATGGATCCTGTGGATTTGGCTCAGGCTTGGCAGTAAGCACCTTTATCCACTGATCCATCTCATCCACTGTCCCAAGAAGATGTTTTATAAATATTACTTGTTTGGGGAGTGGTCCATGCCTACAATCCTAGCACTTGGGAAGATGGTAGTGTTGAAGCTAGCCTGGGCTACACAACAAGACTCAAAAAAAAATTTGCATGTATTTGCACCAAAGTGGATCCATGACCCTCCAGTGCTTGTCACACTGGAAGATCTCTCAGGTGGGCCCTCACCACTTCCATCCTCTTGGTGAATTGACCTGAATCGAGGCCAAGCTGCTGTAACCACCACCCACCATTTCCTCTTCCTTTTTGTGGAGGAAACGGTGCAGAATGTTGGATATTAGACATGCTTATTTAACAAGAAGTTGCCAAAAGCTGACAAAGTGCATTTGGTTCTAAAGCTCCTGGGCGAGCCTCTGAAATCAGTCTGGGAAGACCCCACTCCCACGATAGCCATTGCCTGGGCGAAAAGGGAAGGGAGCACTCGCAGCCGAGAGCAACATTTTTCATGATTTCGTACATAGTGGGTTTGCTCTTTGTTGACAGGGATTCTCTTTGTTTACTTTGTAGGGTCTCATGTGGTCCAGGCTGGCCTCCAAGTCCATATGTAGTTGGAAATGACCTTGAAATCCTGACACACACACCCCTCCTCATCTGAGGGCTGGGATAACAGGAGTGTGCCAGCACGCTGGTCTATGAGGTGCTGGGGATGAAACCCAAGGTTTCCTTCCTAAGCATAAATTCTACAAACTGACCCACATCCCTTGACAACAGTTCTTGGTTTGAACACAACTCAAAAATTTAAAAATATGAGCCAGGTGGTGGCAGTGCACGCCTTTAATCCCAGCACTCAGGAGGCAGAGGCAGGTGGATCTCTGTGAGTTTGAGGCCAGCCTGGGCTACAGAGCGAGTTTCAGGACAGGCTCCAAAACTACACAGAGAAACCCTGTCTCAAAAAACAAAAAAAAAAATTAAAAATATGAAAAGCAGCACTGGGCCACAAGCTGCTCGACTGTCTGTCACTGGGTTCAAGTTTGTGAGGCACTGGGACAGTGCTGGGTCAAGGGAGCGGTGCAAATAGATGCTGTCGTGTCATGGGGTAAACAAACCAGTATCCATCCCTGCTTCCAGCTGCATCCCTGACCTTACTGGAAGATACCTCCCAATGAGTGTCTTCCATTTCTGCACATCTGAGCAGACCACGTGGCATTTTGTTCTGAGTTATCTTCTCCAGGATGCTGTGTCCAACTACCTTGGAAAATACAGTTTCTCTCTCTAGGGTGCAGGACAGGTATTTTGGCTAACAATGCATCTCTCTCTCTCTCTCTCTCTCTCTCTCTCTCTCTCTCGATACCTATCTAGATATCTATTGGTAAGTAGATACCTGTTATTATTTTTTGAGACTAGATCACTGTGTAGCCCTGGCTGACCTGTAACCCTGTAACTTGCTATATTTACACTTGCTATTTATACCAGGCTGGTCTCAAACTCACAGAAATATCTATCAGATATATCTATAGACAGATGTATCTATATATACTTATATAGATAGATATAGGTATATTTTTAAAAATTGAGAGAGTCTAAGTATATAGCCCTGGCTGCACTCAACTTGTAGCAATTCTCCTGCCTCTGCCTCCCAAGCGCCAGCTGCTGCAAATCAGATAAATACTGTGTCTCAGAGACAGCTCCACCGGCTATGCTTAGGATCTATGAGAGTTGAGGCGTTCCTAAGCTAAGAGCTCCCTAGCTCTGATACAAACCTGTGTGTGTCAGCCTTCACTTGAGCCCGCCTCAGCATCCCCCCCCCACTCCCACCCCCCGCCCAGGGCTGGAGGGACATGGATTCATCAGTGTTATGAAAGTGAGTGCAGTTGATTTTGGTGCCGCCAATTCTTGGCTCTGTGCAGATGTCGCTCTATATAGCATGTCTGACCGCCATGCTTAGGAGAGACAGCCTGAAGAGTGGCCCTTGATTGGCACATGGGAAGCTGGAATTGGAAAGGCTTTTCACCATCCCCGGAACGGCTAAGCATGGATTTCTGCACCTAAACTATACACACAGTATGATTTAGGCTAACTATCTTCCCTTGGCAGCCTGGATATATGGAATATGCCAGGCATAGGACACTTGTGTCTCCAGCCACCAGTCAAAGTCTTGGGGGCTGGGGTTCTCATGAGCCCCTCTGGTTGGCAACACCCATGTGTGCCGCTACAGTTTGTGGTTGAAGAAGGAAGCCTGGTCTTGGCTCTTGGAAGCTTGTTCTTGGTTTCCAACCCTAGAGTCTCTTCCCTGTCACAGAAATGGATCATAGCACTGGACAGTGGTGGCACACCTTGAATTCAGCACTTGGGAGGCAGGGGCAGGAGGATCTCTGTGAGTTTGATGCCAGCCTGGGCTACAGAGTGAGTTCTAGGACAGCCAAGGTTGCATAAAGAAAACATGTCTTGAAAACCTTAAAAAAAATGGAAAGAAAAAAGAAGTAAAAGAAATGAATCATAGCTCCGAGTATTACTGTACTGGGTCCTGTAAGTCCCCCTAGTGACTAATTATGCCACAAGGTTACTTGGGGCACACCCACATAGCCTCATCTTCCAGAACCTCAGCTTCTTTTTCTGTGTCCATAGGACTGTCAGGAGGAATCCTTAGATACATCACAGTGTCACACAGAGCCAGTGGTTAGGGTTATTGGAGTGTGAATATGTGTGGATGTCAGTGTGTGTGTGTGTGTGTGTGTGACAGAGTGGGAATGTGGGAATGAGTGTGTGGGAATGTATGAATGAGAAAGAGGAGTATATGTGTGAGTATGAGTGAGGGTGTGTGGGTGTATGTGAGTAGGTATGAGTGTGTGTGTGTGTGTGTGTGTGTGTGTGTGTGTGTGTGTGTGTGTGTAGGGCTGTCATGGGCAGGTACCCAATTTATGGTAGTATAAGCAGAAAGAAGTCTCTCCTTCTCTGGTAATAAATCAAGGAGGACATACTCCAAGGTGGCCACTTTGCCACCATAGGAGTTGACTCACAGAGTGTGGGACCCCGAATCTGCTCCTTGACACCACTGGAGGCCCTGAAGTCTGCCGGCCATGTGGCCAGTTGGCTCCAGGTTGTCTAAGAGCCCAATATTTCCCTGCATTGCTAAGACAGAGTGACCACAGCTTCCCCCACTCACAGCAGGATCCTAGCAGGTGAGACCCTGTTGTTCAGAGTGTGACCCTCCTAGGCTGAGACCAAGTCTCACATGTTTTAGGGTCATGAGACTAAGAAAAAACAGGAGCCTGCTAGAGGCAATGGCTTTTTGTTTGCTTGCTTGAGACAGAGTCTCAAACTGCTCTCTTCTCCACTCTTTCTCCACACTCCCATTCACTTCTGTTTTGTTCTCTTGAGAGAGGCTATCATGAGCCCAGGCTGGCCTTGAACTTCTGATCTTCCTGCCTGCCTTCCAAGTGTTAGAATAGCAGACATGTACCACTATGCCTGGATCTACATACAACATTAAAAAAAAAAAGATTTTAGGGCTGGAGAGATGGCTCAGAGGTTAAGAGCACTGAGGTCCTGAGTTCAATTCCCAGCAACCACATGGTGCCACAACCATCTGTAATGAGATCTGGTGCCCTCTTCTGGCCTGCAGGCATACATGCAGGAAGAATGAATAAAGAAATTAAAAAAAAAATAGACTGAAGGGATTTAAAAAAAAAGATTTTAGTAGTTATTTATGTCTATGTGTATGTGTGTGCACTCAGAGGCTAGAAGACACTGGATCTCCTGGAGCTGTGATTACAGGCAATTGTGAGCTTCCCAATGAAGGTGCTAAGATCTGAACTCAGGTCCTCTGGCTACATTCTAAAAGGGATTACTTTTTATTCTATGTATATGAGTGTTTGCATGTAAGAATATGTATGATGTATGTTTGTATGTACATGCATATGCATATATGTATTACACCACTTTCATGCTTGCTTCCTGAGGAGGACAGAAGAGGTTGTCAAATCCCTTGGAACTAGAGTTACAGAGGGTTGTGAGCCACCGCGTGGGTGCTGGGAACCAAACCAGGGTCTTCTGTGAGAGCAGCCAGTGCTCTTAACCACCGGGCCATCTCTGCAGTCCCTGCAGTCACTATTAAAAGTGCCCACCACATGCAGAGAAGACAGAAGTTGTCCTTGGCACCACTGCAGGAGACGCAGCCTGGAGATGCTTTGTGAAGGTGTCATGTGACATGAGAGACGGGGACCTTCCCATGGAGTGAAGGATAAGGTAACCATAGTGACATGAGTTTCATGGAGAGAAGGCTAAGGTCACCATGGTAACATGAGTTGAAAGGCTGAGCTTCGAAGAGAAAGAAGGAAGTGGTGGTTAGCATGAGGGGGGCAACACTTCCATAGCTGTGAACAGTGTGGGTGTCATCTCAGGCCACATCTTCCTGCCCACCCCCCAGGGACACACAAATGACGGTTTTGCTTTCCAGTCCAGACTGACATATAGAAACTTGCACACATCCCTGTGGATGCATTCAAAGAGGAGACGTTTCCAACACCTGCTTCGCTTTGGCATGACCTGGCTCAGAGACTTGGGTGACCTGGCTCAGAGACTCTTCCAAAGAAAGGACTGCTGCCAGTGTGCTTACATGTTTTAATTTCTTAAATTACAGTTTAGGTTTGTGTGTGTGTGGATGTTCAAAGACAATTATCATGAGTTAGTTCTCTCCTTCCACCACATGGGTCCCTGGGATAGACCTCAGGTAATCGAGATTGTTGGTAGGTACCTTTACCTCCTGAGCCATCTCTCAGGACCTTACAGATGTGTTTAAACCCATGATTATAGATAAATAATATAACAGATTTGAGGCCAGTGAAGTATAAACCTAGTCTGACTGAGCAGTGGAACTGACTGATACAGGATTTGTAACACACAAAATAAGTTAGCAGAGAACCCAACAGAACATGTAACAATCACCTTCGGGGCAAGGTAACATAGCCAAACACATTTTCGGGGGCTAGAGGGTCAATCTTAGTGCCAGAGTACATGCTTAGCATGTGTGAAACCCTGGATTCTGTCTCTAGCAACACACACACACACACACACACACACACACACACACGCACACGCACACGCACACGCACACGCACACACGCACACACTATGTATACATCTCACAGTATTAATCCAAAACTAACTGATAAAAAAGGCAAACTATCATTACTTTTGGGGGGGCATTTTTTAAAAATAAAAAACAAGTTCTCACTATATAGCCCTCTTTGTCTTGGAACTCACTACAGACCGGTCTGGCTTCATTAAGGTCTGCCTTGCTTCTGCCTCCTGAGTGCCGGACTTAAAGACGGCACCACCAATCCATGCACGTCACCACATTTTCTAATGAATGTAACAGAAATTGATCCTCTGAAAATCAGTTCCGTTCTCCTGTTCCCCAGCTTTCTTTTCTCATTAGCAGTGGGTGGACTGCAGACGTTTCTTTGTCCCTTTGTCTGTCTTCCCAGTCAGACTGACTGACAGCAGAGCCTCTGATACCCCAAGGTCACTTCAGCCCCTTTACCTTAGGTATTGCCCAATAAATACGTGCAGAGTGACTGTAAACCACACACATACATTTGATTGACACAAAACATGGCTTCTACAGTGCCACTCCCACTGTTGGTGCTGTGGCACAGTGAGTTCAACATCACAAGGTCCTGACCTGTCACCTGCCTCTCTTTCTTGACCTCTTTGTGGTCAGCCAGTGTCCTTCCGATGCTTAGCCACTTACTAAAACCAGCTCCAAGGGCTGTGGCTGTTTCAGCCTATCTGGCTGGCTCTTCCACAGGGCAGAGTGGCACCAGTTGTGGGTGAGGAGCTAGCCAGGAGTTGACCTCTACAGGAGGAGTTAGGAAAGGCTTCATTCCAGTGTGTCTCTGAATTTCCGAGTGTGATGTTCTAGCCTTTCCGCCTTTGTCTGGAGGCAGCCCAGGGCGCTGGGGCTTGGGTACTTGATCACTGCATTCTTGGTGGCCAGCGCCAGGTCCTTGAGCAGTCCACACAGGTGACTGCTGCCACGCAGGATCTCATTGCGTTCATCCTTCTCCTGGGTCTCCTTGCACAGCGTGTCCACCAGCTTCTGCCCGACTGTGATGACCAGCTTGCTCTGAGTGATAAAGACCTCAGGGGGCTGGCTGTTGCTGAGGCTGCTGGTAAAGACACCGATGGCTTTGAAGAGTGCTCCAAAATAGAGCCTGCTGTGCTCGGACAGGTGGATCTTTCTCTCTGTGTCCTGCCGATTGGGAGGTGCAGAGGTAAGAGAGCTCGGCGGGCTCTAAAGAAGAGGAAGGAGAAAGGATGTAAGGGCTAGGACCATCAGCAGGCTCAGCTGTCATTCCTCTCCTATTTGGACTCAGTTTGCAAGAACCCTTATAAGGAAGAGCAGATTGGTTAAGGAAATTCAGGAACTGGCTGGGACATTTGTCTAACATGAATGCCAGTGTTTTCCAAGCACTGTTCCGTATGCAGCTGTATGTATTCTTGTGTTACAGACTGCAGTGCATTTGTGCATACAGTTTTATTCAACCAGCTCTGTAAACCATAAGAAACACATTCTAAGGAACACATTGATAATAATAAACTTGCAACTTTCAAATGTTCAAGAAGTAGGGGAGTTGGGTGCTGTCCCCAATCTCTGGAGGTGGAGGAAGGAAGATTGCCAGTTCAAGGCTGGCCAGACCTACATGGTGAACCCTGGTCTCCAGGAAGAGGGGAGAAGCAGTGAGAGACATTGCATCCAGAGCATCTTGGCTTGAAAATATCAACTATAGGTGAATTAAAAATGTACTGATGCAGCCGGGCGGTGGTGGCACACACTTTTAATCCCAGCACTAGGGAGGCAGAGCCAGGTGGATCTCTGTAAGTTTGAGGCCAGCCTGGTCTACAGAGCAAGATCCAGGACAGGCAACAAAACTACACAGAGAGACTCTGTCTCAAAAAACCAAAAAAAAAAAAATTATACTGATGCTTTACCTGGGACAGGGACAGGGACGGGGGAGGAAGCTGTCATTGTGTTTTAATGACAGACTGCTGCAGGCAGTTAGTGGGCAGGGGTCCTGGGATGCTGAGTGGGGCATCCCATACATGGATCCCTGCTCCCAGAGCAAAGGAAGAAGCCCTGTTAGTGTGAAGCAGCATTGTCAGGTATGGGCCCTGGACCAGCCCATCAACATCACTTGCCAGAGATGCAGGATCTTGGCCTCTGCCCAGACCCAAGAGATCAAAAACAGAGTTGTAGGAAGGCCAGCAGGCAATGGTGACACCCTTTTAAGTCTAAGGCACCCCTCACATGGGACAAAACAGCGTGGCCTTCAGCAGGACAGAGCCAATGGACGTCTCTGCCCTCCTTTGATCTCGCCCAGTACCCCAGTTGTTGATCTGGTTTACCGCAGCTCGACAGTTCCTATAACCTTCATTTCTCTTGCCTCTCTCAACACTGACTGGCATCTTAATTGGTTTTTAGATGGACTTATTGTGTGTGTTGCATGCATGTAGGTGTACAGATAATGCTTGTGCCCTTACACTCAGAGGCCAAAACATGGTGCCAAGTTTCTTCCCCAATATTTTCCTGACTTACTGCCTTAAGATAGGGTCTTTCACAGAACCAGAAGGTCCCTATCTTGGCTGGGCTGGCTAGCTGGTGAGCTCCTGGAATCTGTTGGTCTCTAACCCCGTTCCCTAATGCTGGGGGTTACAGGCTGGTTACATGGTATTCAACAGTGCCTGGCTTTTTCACATGGGAGCTGGGGATCTGAACTCAGGTCCTCATTGTTGCACAGCAAGCAGTCTTACCCACTGAGCCCTCCCCCTAGCCCTGGACTCATTGTTCATACTTCAATTAGTTTAGAGGAAACATTTAAAGTTGGTAAATGGAAAACTGTTCTCTGCCACAAATAGAAGACAGCCAGTAAGAACAAACAGTGATAACATCTTTGGTTTAAAAGACACTGATCAGGTGTCAAAGACACTATGAAGAAACATAAACACCCAAACAAAATGTTTTACTGTGTTCATCATCAGAAACATAAAAGGGTTGCTAGGCTGAGGAGAGTACAAGGCAGATGGATGCTGCTAATGTGGAGTAGGCGGTAACTGAATTTTCACAGCCCAGGGAGAGCTCTCCAGGGCAAAGTACACTCATCAGAGCTCTGGGGAGCACAAGGCCTTACCACGGCATGGCAGTCTTTGTTTTCACCTGACCTTCGTTCCAAGATGGGCTCTCCTTTCTCTTGTAAGAAAGGTGGCTTTTGAAAAACATTGAATCTTCAAATTACTAATTTAAATAGCTTTCACATTACTATGACTGTTTAAGTTCACTTTTTTTGTTTCATTTTTATGGTTGGTGGTTTTTATGCCCCCCTCCCCACCCTCAAGATCTTGCTGTGGAGTCTAGATTGTCCTGGAACTCACCACCCCTTCCCCAACTTCCTGAGTACTAAGGTTATAGGTGTGCACCACCACGCCCCACTTAAATTTACTTTTAAATGTGGGATTTTGTTCGTGACTCTGCCTGCTGATGCATTCATTGGCTTTGTCAGCAAAGGGCTGGATTCTGCCTGTCAATGCAGCCTGAAAAAATGGAAATTAAAAACAGCCACCTTCATAGATTGTGTCAACTCTCTTCTATCAGCCAGGCACTTCAGAAGAGTCTGGGAAGTGCCACCTCTCTGCTGTCACCGTGACTTGCTGGACCTCTACAGTCTGGCAATCCCTGAACTCAAGGCAGCCAGCCAGAGAACTGCTTCTTGGGGTTCCTGGAGCGGCAGGCTGGTCAGTCCAGCATTGGGAAGAATGTGTGTTCTCCTCCTTGAACTCATCTTGAAACACATCTACAATGACTCAGCCTAGAAATGTGGAGAAACCTGGCAGTTAGTAGCACAGGCCTGTGACTTCAACATCTTGGGAGATGTGCTGGCTAACTGGCTAGTTTTTGTTTGTTTGTTTGTTTGTTTGTTTTGTTTTGTTTATTTGTTTTCTTTGGACAGGGTTTCTCTGTGTAGCTTTGGTGCCTTTCCTGGAACTCACTCTGTAGCCCAGGCTGCCAGGCTGGCCTCGAACTCACAGAGATCTGCTTGTCTTTGCCTCCTGAGTGCTGGGATTAAAGGTGTGTGCCACCACCACCTGGCTAATGTGCTGGATAGTTTTATGTCAACTTGACACAAGTGAGAGTCATGCAAGAGGAGGGAGCCTCAGCTGAGAAAATGTCCCTCCAAGATAAAGTTGTAGGCAAGCCTGGAGGGTGTTTTCTTAACTAGTGATTGATGTGGAAGGCACATCCTACTGTGGGTGAGCCACCCCTGGGCTGATGGTCCTGAGATCTATAACAAACCAGGCTGAGCAAGCCATGGGGAGCAAGCCAGTAAGCAGCACCCCTCCATGGCCTCTGCATCAGCTCCTGCCTCCAGGTTCCTGCCTCCAGGTTCCTGCCCTGTTTTTGTTCCTGTCCTGACTTCCTTCTGTGATGGACTATGATGTGGAAGTGTAAGCCAAATAAATCATTTCCTCCCCAACTTGCTTTTGGTCATGGTCATTATAATAATAGCAATAACCCTAACTAGGACAAGAGGCTAAGGCAGGAGAGACCCAAGTTCAAAGCCTGCTTGGGCAACTTAGGGAGATCCTTTCTCAAAATAAAGAGTAAAAATAGAGTGGTTCCCATCATGGTTGCATGCACCTTTAAACCTAGTCTTCAGGAGGCAGAGACAGAGGTAGAGGGAGGCGGAGAGGCAGAGGGGCAGAGGTGGATCTCTGAGTTCCAGGCCAGGGCTATATAGTGAGACCCTGTCACAAACAAACAAACAAACCCCAAGAACAACAATAGAAAACAAGACGCAGAATGACAGAGTCAGACACCACACACCTCCACGCTATACACACACACATATTCAAAAAGGCTCTGGAAGATCAACCAGTGAGGTGCTTTGCAAATACAAGGACCTGGCTTCAACCACTGGAACCCATGGAAAAAGTAGGTTGTGGTGGCACAAGCTTGTCATTCCAGTGCTGGGGAGGAAGGAGAAGGAAGAGCCCTGGGTCCCACTGTCCAGCCAGTGGGAGATACTGAGGAATAACAGCCAGGCTTATCCTCTGGCTTCCACACACACGTGCAGGTACACACTTCCACATGCACACATGCCCGGCATCTCCCTCTGTGGTGACCATTTTCGGGAACAAATGAAGCTCCCTGGTGTACCATTTGTCACCCGAACTCACCTGTCCACAGGCATTCACTCTGTTTTTCTCCACTAGCTCAAGGCAGTGTTCATCCGCCAGTTGTTTATTGAAGGGACTGATCCTTTGGTATGGCTCAGTTTCCCGTTGGGGAGGCTGGATGCATTTTTCACACTTCAGCTCTGTCTCTCCTTTCTCACAGTTCTGTTTAAAAAGGAGCCTCCCATTGGCAATGACAATGGAGGAAAATCTCTTGACATCTTCTGGAACCATCCGTGCCACCATGACAAACCTCTCCAGGTCATCTAGGCTGTTTTGGACTTTATCAGTCACGAGAACTTCAAGGGACCAATTGCAGCGGTCCAGGCTCCCCTTGGCATCCAGCAGCGTCTGATAGGAGCGGGAGATTATTTGGATCTGGTCTCTAATCCTAGCCTGAAGCTGGCTGTCTGTGAGGCTGCCGGCAGTCCCACCGACCCCTTGGGCGAAATCCAGAAACTCTCTTAGGGACTCTTCAATGTGGTCAGCGGCCCTACGGATCATGTGGATGTTGGTCTCCAAGGAGTCTCTGAACCTCCAAGTCCTGCTTACGAAGAGTAGCAGGCCTGCTGCAGAGCTGGCTACTTTGTGCTGCAGGGCCATCGCTGTCTCTTTGGCAAAGTCCATGTCCATCCACAGCTCCTTTGCCGAGTCCTCAGAGGAGGAGCCGGGGGAGGAGTCCATGGATATGGAGGAGCATGAAGACACCACGCTAGCTCTGCTGTCGGAGCTGGCAACAGATAATTGGTCTGAGTCAGGAGACAGAGAATTTAGCTGTCTGGAGATCCAGGGGATATTCTCTGGAAGCTCTTTGATTTTCTCCAGCTCCTTCCCAGCCTGAGACAGACCCCGCATGGCTTTAGGGGAGTCATAAATGTTGGGCTTGGTGTTCTGCTGCTCCACTCTGGGAACGAGAAACCTGGAAGGGACCCTGTAGCTGCTGCCTGCATCAGAAGGAAGTGAGTCCCTGGGTGCCGGGACATCGTAGGAAGGCTCTTCTGGAAGGCTGTTTTGCTTTTGCGCTGTGCTCCCCGGCTGTGGGGAGAGGGTCACAGCTCCGGTGTGCACGGCGGAGGTGGAGCCTGGAATGGCACTGGACCCTGCTTCTCTGGGGAAGCTGCTCAGGGATACACTTGTGACGTCAGCCTTTGCCAGCAACACCGGAGTGCCAGCCATCCATTCTGATTTGGGAGGGCTGGCCCAGCCCCCAGCCATCCATTCTGATTGGGGAGGGCTGGCTAACGTGTTGTAGCCACCACCTTGTCTGAAGGCAGTTGTCGGCGTCAGCACAGCACTCTGTCCCTGGGAGAGAACCACACACAGGTGTCCAGGTTAGTGTCAATCAGAAGAGAGTTTGAGAGGTCCTTTACATCTGAGTGGCACTCTTGCCCAGGTTCCTCCAGTGGCTCCCCACTGCCCTTGTCACTTAAGGCCTCTCACAGTCTGGCTTCACCTCTTTTTGAACTTCCTTTCCTCCCATAGCCCGTCTTTGTCTGGACTCCCTCCTGTATGTCGGTAGTGGTTTGACCGAGGCCGGCCTCCACAGGCTCATTAAGTTTGAATGTTTGGTTTCCAGCTGGCAGAACCGTCTGAGAGCCATGGCCGTGGCCTTGTTGGAGGAGATGGGTCACAAGGGCAGGCTTTTGCTTCAAACCCCGCCCCCTCCCACCCCCCTACTCCCCCCCACCCCATGCTCTCTCTGCCCCTGTTTATGGCTCAAGATGTGAACTCTCAGCTGTTCCTGCTGCCATGCCTTCCTCTGCCACCATGAACTCTGACCTCTGGAGCCATAACCCCAGTTAAGTTCTTTGTTTTATAAGTTATCTTGGTCATGGCGTTTCATCACAGCAGAGGGAACTAATACAGCACCCACATTCCCAAGTTGCTTTTTTCTCCTTAGTTCAGGAAACTCACTCATACCCCTATGTTCAATGTCCCAATTGTTCCTTCTGCTCCTAATGGCCTCTTTAATCTTTTCTTTTGAATCTAACAAACTTCTACACATCACCCACAACATTGCTGAAATGCAATAATATTGGAAGATTCCCCCTAATCCCGTAACTTTGAACAGAAGCATGCCTTTGGGACACATCTGGTAGAATGCAATGACAAACATGGATTACACAGGTCCCCCCCAATGAGGGACCTTAAATGACGTCCCTCTATCTAAAGGTAAGAGCACACTTTATACAACGTGTCTATGTGATCTCTCACAAGAAGTCATTCTCTAGCACCTGATGAGAATTTTCTCTGTGGCTTATACAAATTATCCCACAGAATATTCCAGAACATTTGCATTAAGAATGGAGACATGGGGAAGTTAAATGACTTAACCAAACCACCATATAACTTATCTGTGTGTCTGTCTGTCTGTGTGTGTCTGTGTGTCTGTATGTATTTGTGTGTGTGTAGGCCAGAGATGTGTACTGGGAATTTTCTTTTATCACTCTTCCCCTTGTATTTTCAGACATGGTATCTCACTGAACCTAAATCTCAATAGACTTGCTGGTCCCCCAGCTCTAGCAATCCTCACCTCTCCACCTCTCCAGCTCTGGGACTACTGGCTTGTGCTCAGCTTAAAAAAAAATTTATAGATATGGGTATTTTGCCTGCACATATGTGTACTATGTACATGTCTGCTGCTCATGAAGACTAGAAGAGAGCATCAGATCTCCTGGGACTGTGGTTACAGATGGTTGTGAGCAGCCATGTGGATGCTGGGAACTTGGGACCTCAGAAAGAGCAGCCAGTGTTCTTAGCTAATTCTCCAGCTCCCCTTTTTAAAATCCATGTGAGCACAGGGGACCCAAACTTGCCCTCATGCCTGTAAGGTGAGCACTCACCCACAGGGACCTCTCCAGCCCGCTACCCTGGTCCTGGACAGCAGGGCAAGGGGGGATTTTGCCACCAGGGCGGTAGAGGTGATTACAAGGATCCTGCTCCTGCCTTTTGGTCAACTGCCACAGTTTGAATTTGGAATGTTCCTGATGTTGAGGGCTTGGTTCTCAGCCTGGGCTGCTGTTAGAAGGTGATGAGACCTTTGGGAGGTGAGGCCCAGTGGAGGGAAGTTGAGCTGTTGGGGCCATCATCTTGAAGAGAATACTGGGACCCCACCCCTCATCTCTCCCCTTTGTTCCCTAACCTTCATAAAGCAAGCGTCTTCCCCCACCATGTGCTCTCATGGAGATGTACTGCACCACACCACAGTCTCCAAAGCAGCCAGCCAACCAATCACGAACTCTGAAACAGCGAACCAAAGCAAATCTTCCCTCTCCATAAGTTATCTCAGGCATTTCATCACAGTGGCAGAAAGTTGGCAATACGTCTAGCTAATAAAATTTCCTAGAGGATGCTTAGTCGCCTAGCTCCCCAGCTCCACTCTGTTCGTACTCACACTTGCCTGGCTGGGGGAGGAGTGGAGTGCCGCCTTCTTGGAGCTGGTGGGTATGTCGTAGGATGGCTGTCTCTCTGGATTCTAGGGAAAGACCACAAAGAAGGGCAACTTTAATTTCTCTTTCCGCAGGATTTCCCACACAAAGTCTACAAGTTCAGTGTTTTCTCCAGTCAAAGACACAAATCCCTGAACACCTTCACAGCTCCTTTGGGGGAGGAAGTGTTATATCATGATAATCATGTTCAATCACCAACTTTAACCCCTTTCTTTTATTTATTTTTACTAAAATCAGCTCTGCCTCTCTGTCTCTATCTCCTTCTCTCTGTCTCTGTCTGTCTCTCTCTCTTGCCGAGGGACCTGCCCTCAGCAGGTCAGATACTGAAGAGGCATGGAGTCGGCACAACTGCACACACACAGAGGAGACTTTTCTGAAGCCAAAGCTTAATTCTTCATTTTAGCTTTTCTGCCTGCTGCTACTGTTCTTTCTCTGTTCCATTCTTTCACCTGTTGTTTCCTTCTTCTCCTCCCTGATGTCCTCCTCCTCCATCTTCCCTGATGTCCTCCTCCTCCATCCTCCCTGATGTCCTCCTCC